TATAAAATAATTGTATTAAATCCTGTAAAGTTTTTTTTTTTAAGATTTTATTTATTTATTTGACAGAGAGAGACAGTGAGAGCAGGAACACAAGCAGGGGGAGTGGGAGAGGGAGAAGCAGGCTTCCCGCTGAGCAGGGAGCCCGATGTGGGACTCGATCCCAGGACCCTGGGATCATGACCTGAGCCGAAGGCAGAAGCTTAACGATTGAGCCACCCAGGCGCCCCCTGTAGTTTTTTAACAAAAGATGTCAAGCCCTAAAGAAAGGAAGCAGACTAAAACTACTGAGTGGCTCATATTTCCCAGACCAGGCACTTTCACATGTGCTGTCTCATCCTCACCACAATCACCTAAAGTTGGATTTATTTCAGTTCCCAGTTGAGGAAACTGAGATCCAGAAAGTTACAGCAAGTTGCTAGTGATGCACAGCTTTGAAGGAGAGAAACTAGAATTCAGAACTTGGCTTGATTCCAAGTCCTCTGATCATTGAGAAGTGATTAGATTCTCCAACTCAAAGTAGTATCTCTACTTCCCAGAATTTCCTTTGTCCCTTTCTATTCCCAGCATTTAATTAGGAGTCATTCAAACTATGGAGGGAATCCAATGGATAATACCGGAAAGTACCAACGGAAGTACTGAATAATCTGCCAGATCTTTCCTCACCATTACTAAACTGTCTACAAGTCAATGTTAACAGAGACCTAAACTCAGAAAGCTCCATTTGGGTCTAACCCGTCCAACTCCTTCACAAACCAGCAGGCCACAGTGAGATTGCCAGGATGGCAAGACACTTATGGGAAAATCCACTCAATACTTTTGACTAATTAGGAGGAAACTCAAGAAGGACATGTGATTGGTCACTCCCTAGCAGTAAAAGAAAAAAGAATGAAAAGAAACCTACTATTTACAAAATAGGAAAAAAAAATAGGAACAAATTAAAAGGAGGCACCACCTAGGAACATAGTTGAGAAGTGATGGTAGACAAGATATTGTCTTCAGTTCATCCTCTCTGCTAGCTGTATGATATTAGACAAGTTGCTTAACGTCTCTGAGATTTAGTTTATCTGTAAAATGGGGATGGTAATAATATTGATTTCATGGGGCAAAACTGAGGATTGCACAAACACAGCCTCTGCCACATTTTGTTGTTACATATCTAGACAGCAGCTTCAAAGGACAATCAGCTCTAGTAATACAGAGCGAGTTCGGTTTTTTTTTACTTCCTTCACCTATTAAGTCATTTCCCTGCAAAACATTATCTCAGTTGCTGAAAAAGACGCTCCAAAGCATGTACTGAGGCATAAAATGTTAATGAAGCAGACCAATAAGAAATGTAAATCAAATTATTCTTATTTTCTCATCAAAAATGGGATTACTAGGGGTGCCTGGGTGGCTCAGTCATTAAGCGTCTGCCTTCGGCTCAGGTCATGATCCCAGGGTCCTGGGATCGAGCCCCACATCGGGATCCCTGCTCAACAGGAAGCCTGCTTCTCCCTCTCCCACTCCCCCTGCTTGTGTTCCCTCTCTCGCTATGTCTCTTTCTGTCAAATACATAAAGAAAATCTTTAAAAAAAATTGCTTTTACTTTTTTGGATAGTCCAAGTTAGGATGATTTTCAAACTGACATCAAGTAAGACAAAGCAACACATCATATCATATCATAAAACATTGGCTGCAATAGATCTGTTACAACTTTAGTTTTTCTATGCTGATTATTTTCTTTATGATTTTATAAATAGTATTAAATTTATTTAGATAATTAGCTACTAAAATAACTGGTCATGAAGAAGAATCTTCTTTTACAGAATTCTCCAAAAATGATCACACATTTCATGGCATATAATAGGCATTCAATAAATGGATAAAAGAATGAATGATAGGGTTTAAAGATCTATCCATAAAATTTTGTTTACAATGCACCCCAGCAAGTTTTTATATATAGGGCACTATTAAAAGATAAATCAAAAAGTGGGGCACCTGGGTGGCTCAGTCGGTTGGGAGTCTGCCTTTGGCTCAGGTCATGATCCCAGGGTCCTGGGATAGAGCCCCACATTGGACTCCCTGCTCCACGGGAAGCCTGCTTCTCCCTCTCCCATTCCCCCTGCTTGTGTTCCCTCTCTCGCTGTCTCTCTCTCTGTCAAGTAAATAAATAAATCTTTTTTAAAAAATGGGATTACTAAATAAAACAAGGGAATTAGAAGACTTGCCTGCATGGAAAGAAAGTTTGAATGGACTAACGAGTTTCGATCAAGTGTTCATTTTGCCCTCCCAGTTAATCACTGCTGTCCCTGAGCTAGTAGAGCTGGCTCCGTGGGTTGGGCTGGCCAAGAACCACCCAAATGGGGACACCTGGGTGGCTCAGTCGTTAAGCATCTGCCTTCAGCTCAGGTCATGATCCCAGGGTCCTGGGATCGAGTCCCACATCAAGCTCTTTGCTCAGCAGGGAACCTGCTTCTCCCTCTGCCTGCTCCGCCGGCAGCTCTCCCTGCTCTCTTTTTTTTTTTTTTTAAACAAAACAAAAAAAAACACCCAAATAGACATGTGGGAAATTCTGAAGTCCAGGCTTCCCAACATAAGAATTTTTGTTAGTTATGCAAAAAACTACTAAATACGTGTAATTTAATGGGCATGCTAATCTTTAGGGATGAAGTTGTTTTCATTTTTTTTTTAAAGATTTTATTTATCTGACAGACAGAGACATAGCTAGAGAGGGAACACAAGCAGGGGGAGTGGGAGAGGGAGAAGCAGGCTTCCCACTGAGCAGGGAGCCCGATGCGGGCTCAATCCCAGGACCCCGGGATCATGACCTGAGCCGAAGGCAGACACTTAACGACTGAACCACCCATGCGCCCCCTGAAGTTGTTTTCAAATGTGAACTGGCATCTCACATGGGTGAGCCCATGTTAAAGTTTCAAAAAAGAGAACCACTCACATCACTGTAATAGATGTGGTTAGTACAGTGATTTTCTATTTCTTAAAGCGTGTCTTTGAATTTCAGTAATTAATATAAAGCAGAAACATGCCAAAATTGGATATTTTATTTACATTTCCTTCTTCTTTCCCAGACTAGAGGCATAGTCTAATGTTTACACTACACATACAAAAAGTGGGTTTTAACATTTCAATATTTTTTCTGAAAATATTAGTTCCTTAACCACATATGCTTTTGAATTTGTTTTCCTGGGAAACCATGTGTCTCAAAATTTTTATTTCTTAATCCCCTCCAAAAGTATTAAGATTAAAATGTCCAGCTTTATGATACAGCCGCAGTCTGACAATCTATGTATGTCTCATAATAGCTACTGCCACAGACCCAAGTTAAAATGAATGAGATTCATTCCTTATTCCAAAATATCTTCCAGATGAATAAAAGATTTAAATGTAAAAAACAAAACTATAAAATACTGAAATAATATATGACCAAATATTGAAAGCAAAATTCAAAACCCAGAAGCTATAAAGGAAAAAAACTATGTAAATGCCAAGACTAAATATTTACAACTTCCACCAGAAAAACACTCCATTAACAACATCAAAAGGTAAACAAAAAACTGGAATCAAGAAATGATCAAATGACAAAGGGCTAATATTCTAAACATACAAAGAAATGTTAATAAAAAACAGGTATACGGGGGCACCTGGGTGGCTCAGTCGTTAAGCGTCTGCCTTTAGCTCAGGTCATGATCCCAGGCTCCTGGGATCGAGCCCCGCATCGGGCTCCCTGCTCCACGGGAAGCCTGCTTCTCCCTCTCCCACTCCCCCTGCTTGTGTTCCCTCTCTGGCTAAATTTTTTAAAAATCTTAAAAAAAAAAAAAGACAGATATATGGCCAAGTAGAAAAAACTGCAAACAACACAAATAGGTGGTTTAAAAAAAATACATAACCAAAAAACAAGATGATTTCAACTCACTAATAAAAAACTGCAAAACACCAAAAACATATATATATATATATATATATATATCATTTTTTCTTCTGAGTTGGCAGAGTTTTAAAAAGATTGAGAACACCCAGTGTGGGCCAGGGTGTGGTGCAGAGGAGCGGTCTTCTTGTGGAGTAACCACTGAGATAGCCTTGAAGATGCAGGCCCCAGGGAGGGTGGGATAACAACACAGAAGGCGCCTGGGACACAGATGAGAGAGTGGGAGCTGCTGGGCGCCGGGGTGGCTCAGTAGGTTTAGCGACTGCCGTCGGCTCAGGTCATGATCCTGGAGTCCCGGGATTGAGTCCCGCATCGGGTTTCCTGCTCGGCAGGGAGTCTGCTTCTCCCTCTGACGCTACCCCCTCTCGTGCTCTCTATCTCTCTTTCTCAAATAAATAAATAAAATCTTTAAAAAAAAAAAGAGTGGGAGCTGCTGTAATCTAGGACTGCTGACCTCTGGTCTTGCTACAAAAAAAAAAAAATCTTATATGGATAAGCCACTCCATTTCAATACACGCTGCCTAAGGCAACCCTACTCATACGAGGAGTAAAGCACTATTGCCAAGATGGTAGCTGCAATGCTCAGAAACGTGAGGTAGTGCAGCAAAATGGAGAAGGCTGAGCTTTGGAGCCGGGACTGAGTTCAGATCCTGGCCCTGCTACTTGTACCTGTGGACGCTGAACAAGTACTTTGAACCTCAGTTTACTTGTATGTAAAATGGGGAGAGCAACAAACAAATTAAGTTGTACGAAGACTAAGTGGGATCGTGTGGGAATATACTTACCACAGTTCCTGACACCAAGATAGGTGCTCAATAAATTGAAACCAATTTTTCTTTATGTCTAATTTTAAGTTTTTTAAAAGTTCCTTTTAGTGTGGTTAACAAATTACTCCTGGGAAACTCCAGAATAAATATAGGGCATCTTTAAAATGTGAATATCCACAAACATTTAAATATATTTCTATGTAGTTAATAAAAAGTTTCATCACGACTTTACCACGTATACTAAGTAGTTCACAGGATCTCCAAAAGAGCCAGAGCCCCAGGACCAGACGCTCAGCAGCCGAGAGCAAATCATGTCTGCGGACAACCATGCTGGTATCACTAGAGGTACAGATGCTATTAAAGGCAGGTATCTTTAGTAGAAGATGGAGGGGAATATATTTTAAGAATGCTTTTTAGTTTTCAATGCTCAGGCCCTTGACAGGGATGAAGCCCTCCTCCTGAAACAGACCCCCTGTGAAAGGGTGCACATTCGCTGGCTCATCCACTCATTCATTTAACAAATATTTATTGACTCTCGGTCAGATGCCATGCTAGGGACTAGAGAACAGGCAGTCTTGCCCTTATGGAATCAATAGGCTAGCAGAGGAGAAAGATAGATGAATAATAATAGAAATAATTATATAATTGTAGTTGATGGAAAGAATACTCCTACAGAAAGCAAAATTTTCTAGGAGAGCATATAACAGACAAACATAATATATTCAAGGTCAAGGAAGGCTTCCCTAAACAAATGATACTGATAAATATTTCCAGTAATAGCATGTGTTTGTGTTATAAAATTATAAGCAGGTCATTCTAAACATGAAGACCTATGAAATTTCCAGGGGTCCCAAAAAAAGTTTGAGACCAGTTAAAAAAATATGGTGGCTCTAAAAACAATGAAAATTGCAAAACAAAAATATTTAATTAAATAGCTATAAAATATAAAACTTCTCAACGTTAGTTCCTTTCATATTCACAAAAATGTCCTTAATTTTGAAAATAACGTGTAGGGATGCCTGGGTGGCTCAGGTGGTTAAGTATCTGCCTTTGGCTCAGGTCATGACCCCAGGGTCCTGGGATCGAGCCCCGCAGCGGGCTCCTTGCTCAGCGGGGAGCCTGCTCCTCCCTCTGCCTACCACTCCTCCTGCTTGTGCTCGCGCTCTCTCTCTGACAAATAAATAAATAAAATTTTTTAAAAATGTGTAGAGTAGCTTTTCTCAATTCCAACGAATTCCAGAGAATGTGTGATTATTGATGAGAAAACATAGCCAATTGTAAACCAAGTGACCAACAGAGATTGGTTGTAATTATAATTAATTCTTAAAATCAATTACAAAAAACTGTTCAAATTTATATTTTTAAATATAAAAATTACATTTAATGTGAAATGGGGTTACATTTTCATATATTTGGTCTTGTGCAGGGTAGAATCCATTACCTACAAAGATCTTAAAATTGTCTGACTTTAAGGTCTTAAGCAGCTCAGGGCACAGGATCTCAGACCATACAAAGCAGCAGACGGCTGTGTCAGGACCTGGGATTAGGGGGTACAGATTGGTCCTTAGCAGTAGATATAGGATGTCACAGGCACTAGACGAGAGTAGGCAATCAGGAACTTGCAGGATGAGACATTCTTCTCCCGTAGGTTGAAAGGACATTGACCTTAAGAGAAATCTAGTCCTGTCACCCTCCACCTGGCCTCCCATTCACCATCACCACTACGCTTCCAGGCTAAATCTTTGATAGATTTTCATACTCAATTCTGACTCTAGCTAAGTAATGATTTTTATTTCTGAGGGAGTATATAATGAGCTCCGGGATATTGGTGAGCCCTTGAATCTTGCAAATGAGTGGAGTCTGAGATTTGGCAGAGGTAACGATGCCTTCAGTTTGGAGGGACTTGACAGCCAGAAAGACACCCTTCAGAGGCATCTCCTTCTAAGGAGGCCCTCTCTTCTGACCCTTAACACCTCACTTCACAGACTGGCCTCTCGTAATGTCCCAGAAATGTCACAGTCAGTATGGTCACATTCTATCTGCTATTATCTTGCTCAGTCTGAGCTCTCCTGATGGGTTCTTCTCATAGTGATTGCTCTACATCTGAAACTGGTATTTAATTATAATAACAAAAACTTAGTCTCTAACCTTGCCCTAAAAGTTGACATCTTATTCAGAAATAGCAAACCCTGTTCATTCCACCCATACTGTTCTCACCACCAAGCTCATTTTGCCACATACCATATTTCCCTTGCCCCAAGCAATGCTTGAAAACTCCCTCTCCTCCTAATTCCCCTAAATCACCAGTAGTTATTTTAAATCCTGTTGTATCAACACATTTAACTATGATCAGATGTTCAAAATAACTATACATAGATATACCACCAGAGAAAATTGATTGATAAATGGACAGCGTATGAATAAAACTTAGAAAAAACTTCCTATTAATGTGAGTGAGCAAAAGGATATTTTAACAGAGGTTGTTGCCAAGACCTAGCCTCTTTAACTAGACATGATAGGATATTAACATAAGCCATTATAGTAGTCCTCCCTTATCTGCAGGGGATAAGTTCCAAAAACTCCAGTGGATGCCTGAAATCATGGAGAATACTGAACCCTACATAGCATATTGTTTTTTTCCTATACATATATACCTATGATAAAGTTTAACTTATCAGTTAGGCACAGCAAGAGATGAACAACAATTAATAAAACAAAGATAACAATACACTGTAATGAGTTATGTGAATGGGGTCTCCTCTTGCACTGTAATCAGCCTTCTTGTGATGATGTGATATGATAAAATATCTATATAAGGCAATGAAGTGAGGTGACTGACAGAGGCCCAGTAATGCAGCATTAGGCTACTACTGACCTTCTGAAGATACGACAGGAGGCAGGTCATCTGCTTCCAGACCACAGTTGACCATGAGGAACTCAAACTGCAGAAAGCAAAACCATAGATAAGGGGGGACTATTGTATTAAAGCACACAACTGGTATGTTACTCAGTTAATTTTTTTTAACTTTGTAAAGGCAATTTTCACAAGTAACACTAGAATGTAGAACCAAAAGACATATATTGTAAGATATTCTGAACTTACTTAGGAAGAAACTGAAAATCTATAGTTAAAGATGCACTTTTCCATAACTTATTCCTCTACTTTGAAGGTCAAAGACGTCATGGTTTCTTTCTTCTCCAGCAATCTCGTTTCTCATGTCCAGAAACTGCTGTTTACACAGCTGTTATCTAGAGCTTATTTTATAATTTGCTTTCAAGATCATAAATATGGTCCTGAAAATGCTTCATCCATTTACCTAACTAGACAGATGCAAATGTATTTTCATCAGAAAAAAGGCTTCTTTTAAGGGAAACCATTCATGAAATATGTCCTTTCCATTAATAGCTTACAATATCTCAGTTTATTCACTCAACTGGACCTAGATTATCATAGACTGAATTTTTGAAGGGTGATGATTTGAAATTCCTTATTTTATATTAAATCACTTGATACATAGACAGAGAAGGCTATAGCCAAGGTACAACACCTGCAATGAGCAATTCTGACTGAAGGAAGCACATTCGGGTCCAACTTGTGAGATCCATCAGGTTAGTGCTTGGTTGTATAGGAAGCCCCTGGGAAGAATGGCTACATTGTGAAGCTTTTGGCATACTTATAAATTAGCTAGTGAAAGCTAAAGGCAAACGGGATTTTAGCCAGTTGATGACTGACCTATTTTTGATTTAGAATTGTAAGCAGGAAAAGAGGTTATTTATAATCAGCCAAAATCACAGTAGTGATTAAGATATGCCCTAGAAATAAATCAGGAGTTTTGGAAGTTCCAAAACATCCCTACTATTTAGTGTACTACATCTGATGTACCAAATACTCTATTAGATGAAAAGATTTCGCACAACTCCCATCCTCTAACCTGCTCCCAGAAACTAAGATAATGACTGCATTGTTAAACTCTGGCTCCAAGAAGCACTTTGCGGCCAAACTAGAGAATCCTATCTAAAATGGGATTTGGGTGCCTGGGTGGCTCAGTTGGTTAAGCGACTGCCTTCGGCACAGGTCATGATCCTGGAGTCCCGGGATTGAGTCCCACATCGGGCTCCCTGCTCAGCAGGGAGTCTGCTTCTCCCTCTGACCCTCTTCCCTCTCATGCTCTCTATGTCTCATTCTCTCTCTCTCAAATAAATAAATAAAATCTTTAAAATGGGATTTAACTTGGGTGTTTTAAGAATGGAGATTATGGGGGGGTCCAAGATGGCAGTGAAAAAAGAACCTTAATTTCATCTGTTCCCAGGAATTCAGCTAGATAGCTATCAAATCATTCTGAACACCTAGGACTCAACCAGAGATCTAAGTAAAGAATAACTGCAACTCTACAAATAGAAAAGCCACCACTTCCTGCAAGGTAGGAGATGCAGAGAAGTGAATCCGAGGTGACAAATGGGAAGATAGATAGTGGGGGAGGGGGCCCCCGTCAGCCGCTACCAGCAAGTGATAGAGCGGCCGAGCACAAATTTGGAAGTTTTAGAAGTCTGCTCTGTTGAGGGATGTCGCTCTGGTGGCTAAGCAGGGGGTGAAACCCTCGCTGGGACAGTGTGGTCTCAGGACCCTCAGGGTCACAGAAAGACCGGGGGTCACTGAGTGCGGCAGAGCTCCCAGGTATCGGAGCGGGGAAGCCGGCTGCAGAGACGGAGCCAAGGCGTGGGCTCTCAGCTCGGGGTTGCCATAAACCGTGATTCCCGGCACAGTCAGGCCACTGCTCCTCCAGCAAGGACCCAACAAGTGGCAGATCCGGGGAGACTCCCCTTCCTCCCCCGGGAGGAGCAGACCTATCCTCAGAAACCTGGCAGGCCAGAAAGGATTGGCATGACATATTCAGGGTGCTAAATGAGAAAACTATGCAGCCAAGAATACCTTACCCAGCTACGATGCCATTCAAAATAGAGGGAAAGATAAAAATCTTCCAGGACAAACAGAAACTAAAAGACTTTGTGATCACCAAACCAGCCCTGCAAGAAATATTAAAAGGGATCTTTTAAGCAAAAAGAGAGTCCAGAAGTAACATAGACCAGAAAGGAACAGAGATAATCTACAGAAACAGTGACTTTACAGGTAATACAATGGCACTAAATTCACATCTTTCAATACTTACTCTGAAAGGAAATGGGCTAAATGCCCCAATCAAAAGACACAGGGTATCAGATAGGATAAAAAAGCAAGACCCATTGATATGCTGTCTGCATTTTAGACCTAAAGATACCTCCAGATTGAAAGTGAGGGGGTGGAAAACCATTTATCATGCTAATGGACTTCAAAGAAAAGCTGGGAT